CCTTCGCATTCTCTGCAACGGCAACTTCACGGTCTCGGATACACCAGACTCGGCAATACTATGCGGTCCTGATCCACCGCCTGGCACCGCCATAGGTGCTTCGCTGTCGATCAGACCCGCCTTATCCTCATGGCGGTTGTGCCGACGGCGACGGAAACTCAGCTTCCGATCAATGCCGCCTAAGCGCATGCTCTTGTGTAAGCCCGAGTTCTTTGACGCTGCGTCAGCGTGCATTGGGTATACGCGTCCTGCAGGTTGGTTGGGCCGACCGAGGTTACCATGCTGCACGTAAAGTAGCCCTTGCCTTCATGGAACCGCAGGTGCATGGTGTTCATTACGTTGATGAGGCCGGCGCGGATTTCAGACGGTGAGCGTGTCGAGGTCGTCGTTGCTGAAAACAGGGCTTTGAGAGAGACAGATTTCAGGTATTCGTCGGCGCGCGGAGCCTTGGATATCCCTTCGACAGCCGCAGCGCTGCCTGCTGTTCCTCGGCCTTGATCTCAGGTAGGTCAATAGGAGGCGAGGAATCCCTCCCCTTGTTGCTGACAGGCCTGTTGCATGAGCAGAGGCTTCAGCAGGCTCAGCAGAGGTAGCACTACCGGCGATGCTGATCGTCTCAGATGTCAGACGGGCACCAATTCCCTCGGTGGATTTCCAGATACAGGCGTCGTTGGCTCAGGAACTTCCGCATCTTGTCGGGTAGATCGAACCCAGGAACAACATGTTTCTTCGCAGTGTCCTGTGGATGCGAGTGCGACCGCAGCAAGCCCGATGGCTTCCCTGGCTTCTCAAAGGGATTAGTGGTGGTTTCTTCGACTTGGACCAACCCCAAACCAACACCCTGTACGATACTGCCACTGCCACTGGTAGGAATCTTCACCCGGTATTGCTGCTATCGATGGCACCAGTGCTGTTATGCTGTGCGACATTCATAAATGAATGCCGCTGGGTCAGCAGTGGCTGTCCATCCTCCTTTATCTGTTTGCCATTGCGCTGCAGCTTGGCCTTGGTGCCTGCCCGTTGCCCGCTGCCGCGGATTTGCCGTCACGTACGATATCGCTAATGACGCGTGCCATGGCGTTGGACGACGACCGGACGCGGCTCTTCTTGGCGTCAAAGGCCGAGTGGCGGGCGTTGCTGGAAGTCACACGGTAGCTGAGCTCAGGTGTCTGGTCCAGCAGTCCGACGCCTTCTTGCTCGTCCATGCTCTCAATCTCGCGACGAGCTTTCTCGACGAGCTCAGCCTTTCCGGCCATTATGCCATCGAATCCTTGGCGATCTGGTCCTGCAGCATGGTCGGCCAGCGATGACTGCGTTATAACCTCGTAGTCGTCGATGTCGGTTCCAGTAAACATCGACGATGCAGCATCGAACTCGTTCGACGACCGGGATGCCTTTGACTGCTCGTCAATAGCGCTGCCTTCACATGCGCCAATTGGCTTGCTATCGGCAGGTGTGTCCTTACTATCTTTGGCATCTGTCGGTGGATCAAGCGAGTCTCCGGTCTCAGCATGCTGTTCTTTGGTCGCGCTCTTGCCCAACCCAGCCCGCTGGATACTCGGGTGCATCGGCGGTATTAGTGGCTTCGAAGGAGGAGGGCACCTGGCTAGGGCTATCCAAATCAAGGCGACCACGGGAGCTGTTGCATGAAGGCACAAGATCCGTAGATTGCCAAGCCTCAGAGGGCTCTGACGCTGGCTTCTCACCACCAATCAGTGGTTTGGTAAGATATTGGCGCCTTGAGCTGGCTGTGTCAGGCGACTCGTCCTTGGCTGCAACCTCGCTACCATCCTTGCTGCCTGTGCCGTTGGTAGCCATGTCCAGTGCCTGCGTTTGTCTGGTGGTCACCTGTGTCGCGCAGATCCTCATCGTCCTCCTCAATACAATGGCAGCGCCTGGTACTTGTGCACCGGCTGGGCAGCCAGTGTCGCGGGCTTTGCAACAGTGGAGGCTACTGATGCCGGCGCCTCTTGGGTGGATGCTGCTGTTTGGGCTGCAAGCAGCTTGTCGCTTTCCTCTGCCTTGGCCTCGGGGGCAATCTCGACAAACTCCACATCTTCGCGGTCGTCGTTGGTTGACAACCTCGCGTTGGATCCAGGTGGCGTGTCAAAAGGCTTCTGCCCATTCCGCCCGCCTTTGACCAAGGTGCTGAACCGCTTGAACAGGCTTGCACGCTTCTTTTTCGTGTCTGGCCGAGCAGACATTGCAGTGGCAGCATTGGCGCTACTGTTGGTCGCAGTCAGGGCCAACGAGCCACGGTGTGGGGGCGTATGCGACGACAGCGCCTCAATGGCTGCTGTTGTCGGGTCCTCGGTATTCACAGGCTCCTCGGGAACGCTCGGCATCGCTGTGTGTCTGCCAGTGTCGGCGCTCATCCGGTGCAGGCCACTCTCCTTTCCACGCGACTCAGCCAGCGAAGCAACAATATCGAGTCCTGCATTCTGGGGGTTCCTGCTTCCGGTTGCGTCCCTTCCTACCCCATAGCTCTCACTGCTGGTCATGGTCGAGGTCCTGCTACGCAGCTCGTGCTTGTGGTCCGACGGGCGCCTTGGTAGAGGCTGAGACTGCTGCTGTTGCAGGTAGTGGCGCTTCTCTGGGACTGCTGCCGGGCCATCAGGACCTGCCAACTGCGGAACCGCCTGTGCGTCGATCTCAGTAGCAGGCTTTGAGGCGTGTGCTTCCGCTTGCCTAACTGCAGCATTGAACTGCGCCTGTGCCCGGGATTCGCGGTCTCGACGCTCCTTGACCAAAAAGTAAATACTGAGCAGGGGGTCGGTAGCCAGCAAGTCGTGGTATTCGTGCTGAATCGAGGCGCAGTCAGTGTCGGGCGGCGCTAGCTTCCCGTCTCTCCAGATAGCGACCATTCCAGATGCTGGGTCAATGTACATCTGCGGTGCGTGGGCTGATGACGGCTTGCCATACTTTTTTTGGCCCACTGTATTGTCCTGCGAGGCTGACGAGCGCAAGTCGCCAAAAGCTCTGCCAGACAGCACGCGGAATTGGGCTGCACCCTGGCTCTTCTCTCCTGCTTGCCCACCAGGCGCGTGCGGGTCCGGTGAATACTGCTTGCTGCTGGTGCGGCCAATGTTGGTTGTAATAAACGTGCTGCTGCGCTTCCAGAAGCTTGTCTTCTTTTTGACTGCGTCGCTGTTCTGCAGGTCACTGTTCTGCAGGTCGCTGGTTTGCGCAGCCAGGCGCTGGCTGATTGTCGAATTGGCAGGCGCAGCCTGGCTCTGCTGGATAGCAGCTGCCTGGGGGCCAGAGACAGCTGGGGTGCCGGCTGATCCCAACCGTGCGGCAGCGGCATTGGTGTCATTGGGGTTGGTCAGCGTGGTGCCGGAGGCTGACTCGGCGCTGGTCAGGCTCTGTGACAGTGCGTTGGCCAGTGGCACATGCGATGAGCCCTCAGCGAGTCCCTTGACCCCGACATTTCCCAGCTGGTCGGCTGCGACGTCAACGGCGCTCTGCATGGCTTGTGCACGTGAAATGTCCTCCTGCACCTGTCCCCGAACAACATCAATCTGCGGGCTCAGCTTGTCCTTCAGCCAGCACCGGTACCAATCTTCGGTCAGAATTGCCTCCAGACCTAGGCGGATCTCCTCTTCGGTGCCAAACCCAAAGCCGATGTACTGCGACATTTCGCGAACCACAGCGCGGTCGATCTGGTCGGGCGAGACCAGCGGCGTGCGCTCAGGCAAAAAGCTGGTGGGGATGCCAAGGTCGCCATAGCCCTTGCATGTCCATGGGTGCCGGATTACCTCGCCCATTGTGGCTCGCCGCAGCGGGTTGACTACCAGGAGCCGCGACAAAAGGTGCTTGCACTCGCTGCTGAGCCAGCTCGGGTACTCGACATGGCCGCGCTTGATTTTGGCATGGAGTGCGGGCATCGACTGGTCGTCGAATGGCACCTTGCCACATACGAGTACGTACAGCACTACACCAAACGACCACAGATCAACTTCTGGACCAGTGTACGGTTGGGCGTTGAGCAGCTCGGGCGCAGCAAAGTACAGGGATCCGCAAAATGTCGACAGGTGCGAGCGCGGCGAGTACAGGTTCGACAGACCAAAGTCGATTAGCTTGATGTTGCCGTTGGCCGAAATCAGGATGTTCTCAATCTTCAGATCACGGTGCACAATCGAGTTGCGGTGGCAATAGTCGATGGCCGATGCAATCTGCCGGGCAAACTTGCGCGCATGCTTCTCCTTCAGGCGGCCGTGGCTGATGATGTAGTCCAGCATCTGGCCCCCAGAGACCAGCTCCTGGAAGATGTAGTAGTGGTTTGGGTGCACTATCACGTCGTGCAGCACACAGATATTTGGGTGGTGCAGCAGCCGATTGATTGCTACCTCGCGCACAATACGAATGTCCTTGTTCTCACGCCGCTCGCGGTCCTTGGTGGTGAACCGCTCGCGCGGCTGCAGAAAGCCGCAGCTTGCGTGGGACGCGGGCTGGGTACCCAGACTGCTCAGCCAAATCGGGCCGGCTCTCGAGGGCCAGAGGAATAAGCCACGACCGCCAGGGCTCAATGGCCGGGTCAACGGGTCCCGGCGGTATCTGTACTGATGCTGCAACTGCTTTCTCGGAGCTGTCTGCTGCTGTGGTGTCGAATCCAGAAGGAAAGTAGATAGGAACGTCTGGCTGTTGGCGCGGGATGATCTTTGCGGCCACCTACAACGGACATGGATGACGGAGATATCAGCTATATGCAACACTAGTGGTGGCAATCTCTTGGCATGCTAGCACAGTAGATACATACCCGCTTATTTGTGCGAATGTCGAGCGCAACCTTGACCTTGCCCATACTGCCTGCGCCAATGGTCTTTGCCAGCTGGTACGGGCCCACCATGCGCCTGCTGCTGCCGCTGCTTCGATGCACAGGCTGTGGCGCCGCGGGTGCAGCCGGATACTCATTGGCATAGTGCACTTCTCGATGTGGCACAATGCCCGCTGCTGCCGCTGCTGCAACCTTGGCCGCTGCTGCCTGCTGCCCGTTGGCGTTGAACACCCGCTCGTCAGGTGTGCCGCTAGCTCGCTGCTGCAAGTACGACTGCTGCCGGTCATACGCTGTGCCTGTGCGCACGCCGCTGCCGGTTGAATTTACCCGCGCCAGGTGTCCTGCGCCTGGGTGCGGGCCCATGCTGCCCATCCCGCCTGCGTCGCGAGGGCCCACCGTCATGCTCAGTGGCCGCACGCTTGATCGATACTTTGCCGTGTCGACCATTGCCGGCGGAGCGCTGCCTCCAGCAGGCGGTGCTGCTGCTGTGCTTGTAGGCGTGCTTGTCGCCGTCGTGTTACGCCGGAGCGGCTGCTGTGGCTGCTGTCTAGGCAAATGTTCCCGATGCTGGGTAGGGAATTCGCCTGCTGAAATAGCAGTGTCTGCCATTGGCTGCTTTCGTGTGCGAGGAATTAATATTAAATAAAGAGTGAGAGAAAGAGAAGAAGGAGGACGCTTGGCCGAAATGGAGAAGGTAGAAAAGTAAGAAAAAGAGGCCAGGTGTTTTTGTTGTTGCTCCGGCTCGAGACTGAGACCCTCCCCCTTTTTGAAGGTTGGAAGCTTGTTTGTTGGAGGCAATAAAAACACAGTGCTGGGCTGGGATATAAATAGAAGGAAAAATGTAAATAATACACTGAAAATTTAGAGTATGCAGCGAACAAGCAGCGGACGGCACGTATACCTGGTGGTGGTGTCGTGGTATAGATTAATTGGCACCACCAGATGTGGGAAGCTGATGCTGTCGCACTTGTTGGTTTGCACCCACCCGGGTGTGCGAGCAGCAGTACCAGCGTGCTTCGATTTGCAGCACGTGAAAATTAGAAGATCAGCACCCGATTATTCTGTTAGGGCCTTGCCTGCTCCTTGCGGCAACTGCTTTTTAGACCGCCATTCTTTTCAAACTCAGGACCGCCGAGTTACTGCAAGGGCTCCTTCTTTGCATCTCATCTCGCAAAATTACACTCGCTATTTTCTGGGAATCTTTTTAAAAAATGGCACGCGACTTGCGCAGCACGGTGCTGCTATTCATTGCCGTCATAGGGCTGCTGTTTGTGTGGAGAGACTTGCGCAACGACTTTAACCACGCCGGCGACCTTCGCAAGGCCGAGCTGGCGCGGCGCACCGAGGCTGTCACTACGACGCAGACGCAGACCGAGGTCCAGACACAGGTTGAGCAGGTGACAGAGACCATGCAGGTGAAGCAAATCGAGGCGACCACAGAGCGCACCAGCGCAGCGTTCGTCATCCTGACACGTAACAAGGATCTGAAGGACCTGCGTGAGACTTTGGTTCAGCTCGAGGACCGGTTCAACCGCAAGTACCACTACCCGTACGTATTCCTGAACAACGAGCCGTTCAGCGATGAGTTCAAGGAGAAGATCAGCAAGGTTGTCACTGGTGTGGCCGAGTTTGGGCTGATCCCGAAGGAGCACTGGTCGTATCCCGAGTGGATCAACCAGACGAAGGCTGCTGAGGTGCGCAAGGACATGGCCGAGCGCAAGGTCATCTATGGCGGCCATGAGAGCTACCGCCACATGTGCCGGTACGAGTCTGGGTTCTTCTTCCGCCACCCGCTGATGGACAAGTACAAGTGGTACTGGCGTGTGGAGCCTGGAGTCAAGTTTGGATGCGAGATCGATTACGATCCGTTCCTGTTCATGGAGAAGAACAACAAAAAGTACGGCTTTACGATTTCGATCAAGGAGGTTGTCGAAACGATCCCGACGCTGTGGAAGACCACCATGGCTTACATGGACAGACGCAAGGATCTGATCCCTGAGACTAACCTGATGAAGTTTGTTACCGATGAGGACGGCGGCTACAACCGCTGCCACTTCTGGTCCAACTTTGAGATTGCCAGTCTCGACTTTTTGCGGTCCGAAGAGTACCTGTCGTACTTTGACTACCTGGACAAGGAGGGCGGGTTCTTCTACGAGCGCTGGGGCGATGCGCCAGTGCATTCGCTTGCAGTGGCGATGTTCCTGAACAAGAACCAGGTGCATTGGTTCGAGGACATTGGGTACTACCACGGTCCGCTGTGGAACTGTCCCAAGGGCAAGGCCAACGACAAGTGCTGGTGTCCCGAGGAGGAGTCGATTGAGACCAAGAGCCCGCACTGGTCGTGCACGCTGAAGTTCAAGGATCTCCCTGACCCCAAGTAGATTTGAGTAGATCCATTGATACCAACACGATAGTGACTCTGGCAAGATGTGAACCTGATGGACCTGCTGTTCCTGCCCAGTGACATCGATAAGGAGCTCAGTCCTGCTGCAGCGGGTGGGGATTTTACAGCCAATCGGACGTGCTGGCCATGAGCAGCGGATGTCCTTTGCTTCGCAGATTCGTGCATCTGGGCAGGCCGAGTACGACCACGATGCCATCATTGCCCGAGAGCGCAACAGCGATAGTCATTTTTCCCACCAACGAGCACATCCTATTTGGCGCATGGCCAGCGAGCGGCAGCAACTGCAGCAGTGGAAGGGCAAAGGGGCGAAGAATGGGCAGCGCCGCCGCAGTGTTGCTGACTATGGTTCATGTGACATGGGTGGAGCGCCAGCAGCGGTAGTGCACATCAACACATTACCCACACGCCAATCTCAACATGTCGGTGATTATCAGCCAGTCGATTCCCAGCTGCATCGACGGCGTTCAGCGACTTTTTTATTTTTTGTGCGCGCGGCATTTGCCATGACAATTTTTTTTGGCGCACATGGCCATTGCAGCTGCACATGTCTTTTTTCACCGCAGTGACATGGGCAGCCTCTATTTCGGTGCTCGATTGCCAGCGCTTATTTTCGCTGTATCCCGACCACTTTCAACGCATGCATCTGCAGAGTAGTGTGAAGGATAGACAACAAATTCGGCGCACACCGGTAGTGGCCGTAGGCCCAGAGGCTAATATCCGGCAGCCTAGATAGGACCCGCGAAACCCGAGAGCCGGTTTTGGAGTGCGGATTGACCCCCCAGACTCGGCGACACAGCGGGAAGCGGATTGTCTGCTGCTTTTTCTCTTCGCTTAAAGTACACAGGCCATTTTTGGACAAACTTGTCGAAATCCTCCGACAGGCCAATAAGGCGGGGCTGTGGAAGGGGATGCACGGCTTGCATTAGAAAAATTAGACCTGAATCTGTTCCATAGAATCTTTCCGCTGCGCTACAGGACGGTAGTGTCAGACAGTGCGGCGTTCACAGACAATCACTAGCTGGGAGCATCCTATCGTCGAAGGAATTCACGTGCGAAGCTTGTGGCGAGATAGCGACAGCGAGGTGCAATTGAGAAAGCTCACAGGGCACGATGTGTGAATGCAGCCGCCAGCTGCACGCGGTGACGGAATTGGCGCTAGGAATAGCCACCCTTGTCCATCCGGTGGTGGTTGATGCGCATTCGGTGGATGCGTAGGGCCCGAACAGCTGCCTGGTATGCAACGGGATGCATTTCTGGCCAGGTATATAAATTCTCCGACGGAGCGACACGGAGTCAGGATGAACGCCAAGCAAGACTCCAGCACCACCTCTCCATTCCTCCGTTCTGTTCGCCCTTCTGCAGCGGGTTATTCTACCCTTTCAGGCGCCATTTTTATTTATCCAGCAAAGAAGCAGTCACAGAAACCACCTTCGCAGCCTCCTCCACCTGCAAGAAATCTATTAATTCCCCACACCATCTCTGCGCCGCCAGGATCCGTGCTAACATCCGCCATGTCACCCGCCAACAGCAAGAAGCAGGACCTGCCGCGCCGGCCTTCGTACGAGCTGGAGCCACCGCAAGGTGAGTCACAGTGACAGCAGGATATTTTACTGACTGATCACCATCGCGACCACTGAAGTCACCCGTGAATTTTGTGCTGGACATCTCTTTTGGCGCACTGGATTGCCGGCCTCCCCTGCCAGTGAATCTCAGAGCCCGTAACAGCATATTTCTCCGTTGTTATCTACCGGCGCATCCGCCCAAGGAACAGAGCGCGCCTCTGAGCAGTTTCTCTGAGCAACGTGTGATTTGAGAGCCTTGCTCCTTTTTGGCTCTGTCCTACATGCTGCTGCCCCGTCTCCTTTCGGCATATTGCCATGGTTTGCAAGAGATAGCGGCAAGTTTGGGAAGCAATGACGCCGAGGAGTGGGACAAGGGGCGTTTTTTTTTTTGCAGCCCGTTAGCTCCAGGCGGAGGTGTTGCATCTTCCATCGGCTGGCGATGACGCTATAAAAGCGCGGAGCAGCGCACCCAGGGCCCAGTTTCACGACATTGACATTTGATTCTAGCCCCTCTCCTTCCAAAACCTCTTGCTCAGCCCACCGTATCTTTTTCTCACACACACCTTTATTTGCACCAGGCCCCCGAGTCAGCTTATCCATTCCAAAAAAACGTACTGTTCCCACACCTGTGCTATCATCGCCCACCACCACCCCTTCTCTGAAGCCGCCATCTGCTTACCCAGCTAAACCCACTCGCCAATCCCTTTCTCTGCCATCCAATTGTAGCTACTATGCCTGAGCTTGGTCTGCCCAGCGATGCCATTGCATCGATCTCAGCCTCGACCCGCCCGTCGCACCAGCCGGGCCATGAGTCGCCGGACATGAACTTCGACTACCTGAAGTACAGCTTCAAGTCGCTCTCGCGGCAGCACTCGCGCGAGGACCTGACCAAGACCGGACAGGACAACGCCGAGAGCCTCGAGCGGCGGTATCACATGCCCAACGAGGAGGGTCTGCTGCATCTCAAGAACACCTCCCCCGTTGTTTCCAAGCGGTTCCACAAGGTGCTTATTGCCAACCGCGGAGAAATCGCCATGCGTGTTATGCGTACTGCGCACGAGCTCGGCCTCAAGACGGTCGCAATCTACGCGTACGAGGACCGCCTC